TCCCGCCCGGTGTTGCTGCGGTGGGAGGTCGCGGTTCCCGCGTCTGCCCGCGGTGTTGGCGCTGCCTTAGGCACTGGGAGTTCCTGGGGGCGCGTTGCTTGGCTGGGTTCATTTTTTTTTTCCACTTTCGCGTAATAAAGAGCAGCAAGTCCCATCTCCTGCCTTTCCCTCCGTACCAGCAGCCGAACGTCCTCGGTACCTGTCCGTCGCTTCCTAATGTACATCAGCGCACACTGATATACAGCCAGTCTGATCTTTGACTCGCCTTTGAAATAGTGACACATTTTCTTAACAACAAATTAGACTTTGACATTAGAAGGTGCCCATCTGTAATGGATATTGCAATCCGAAGATTCAAAGAGACTATCGGTGATCTTTGTCCTCAGCCGCCTAAGCTGGAGTCTCTCTTCCCTCCTACGCGTTATTTGATTGTGGTACATAACCTTGGGATGTACTAATAATCATTAGTCAGAGCTGATATATCCTTTATGGGCCTGCCCCGCTCAGGAAGGGAGACGTTCTCTAGAACAGCAGTAAATCAGCAAAACACGCACTTAAATATACAGTAAAATGTGGTCTGAGACACGAGCCTTCATACATCATGTAACAAAATGCTTTATTGAGAGTTGCACACGCGCTAATGAGGAAAGAGGGCTGCTGCGAGGAGACCTGCAAAAGGGAAACGATTTGGTGGGGGAGCCGGGAGAGATCCTCAGCAGCTTGTGGTCCAAGGGCAGTCGTGACTCCCCAGGTCCTTCTCTGCCCTCTTGTAGGTGATGTGGTGCCTCAGAGGAGCTGGCAGGAGGGGTGGAATGGGCAGGAGGGGAAGGGAGCCCTGCAGAGCTGTCCAGACGTGATGCCTGGCAGACTGGGCCTTGAGACCGTGGCTGGGGCAGCAGAGCGGGTCCAGCTTGCCAGGAGGAGCGAGGGGGCTTGTTCTGCTGTCCACCAGCCTGGCAGGCCAGGTCACTGCTTTGTCCCTGTTTTTGCTAGTAAACAGCTGTCTTTTTGCCGCTGAATGTTGCAGGAATCATTAGAGCATCTCCTCATCTTTTTTACGGGCATTTCTCAGTTAAATCTAAGTGAATAAATACCACAGGCTTCTGCAGCTCTGCCAAGTTGCTGGCTAAAGCAGGGGCAGACCCTCAGGGGTGAGGGGAGGTGATGAATCCTCACCCCTCAAAAAGGCACCCAGGCATCATCTCTCTGTGCTCAGTTTGCTGGAGGATGTGCTGCATGTTTTATTCTCTGTGTTTCTGGCCTTGCTGCTTTGCCTCCTGTGGTTTGTGTGATCTTAAGCAGCTGCAGAAACTGTGCCAAAAGGGCTGGCCAAGCCACCCACCCAGATCTCTGTAATGCCTGGGGCCCCTTCCCGCACTGTTCTGGGGAGAGCACCACTGCCTCTGCTGAGAGCCTGAGCTTGCCCGTCCCTGCTGACCATGAGAGCTGGGCCCACAGGGCCTTGTGCCTTCTCCTGTGACTATTGTCACCCATTCTGGAGCTGACCAGATCAGTACCTGTCTGCCTTTTTTGCTTAATAGTGACATGGAGCATGTCGTACGAGGTGCAGCTGAGGGAACTGGGGGTGTTTAGTCTGAAGGAGGCTGAGGGGAGACCTCATCGCCCTCTACAACTCCCTGAAAGGAGGGTGCAGAGAGCTGGGGATGAGTCTCTTGAGCCAAGTAACAAGCGACAGGACAACAGGGAATGGCCTCAGGTTGTGCCAGGAAAGGTTTAGACTGGATATTAGGAAGCATTTCTTTGCAGAAGGGGTTGTTGGGCGTTGGAATGGGCTGCCCAGGGAGGCAGGGGGGGAGTCCCTGTCCCTGGAGGGGTTGAAGAGTTGGGTTGACATAGTGCTTAGGGATCTGTAGTTGAGAACTGTGAGTGTTAGGTTAATGATTGGACTGGATGATCTTCAAGGTCTTTTCCAACCTGGATGATTCTGTGATTCCATAATTCAACCAATGCATGAAACGTCCATGATGAGTTAACCAAGCTTTGGGCCAATGTCGTCGCCTCATCACATTACGTTTAGTGCCACTGATGTATTAATATCAGAGGGCTACCATCCTCTGCTAACTGCAGCTGGGATTAATAGAGCAGATACAGCATGAGACAACATCTCCAAAGCAGAGGGGGAACAGATTTATGGAAGGGCTTGATGATGGACAAAACCAAACCGATTTCAGATACCATGGGAAAGTGGTAAGAATCGGCGATGGTGTTATACACTGAGCATGCTGGACTGATGGTTATGGGGCAGTGGTTTATATTTTTGTGGAGCAGAGGGAAAGCAGGAATCACAGTGACACAAAATGGGAAAATGAGTATGCAAGTAAAGGCATGATGAACAGGCACACTTGTATGCCAGTTAGTTATTTCTAATTTTTTTTTTTTTTTTAGGATAGCTCGAGCATCTTAATGGCATCAGAGGATTTAAGCCATAGGGGGTTTTACTGCCAAAACTTTGTTTGATGCCTGTTTAACTCTTGGGGAGACAGACTCAGGATAGGTGTGCATCAGAGCTCAATGTGAGCTGCTTTCCACACCTTTGGTCAGTAATTGTGACCAAATTGTAAGTGTCTAGACTTTTATTTTACTAGACTTGTACTGTAGACTTCTTAGTAGGTAGTGCTTAAGCTCAACTTACTGAACATAAAAAGCCCTGTCCCTTTGCTGAGGGATGGCAGCCCAGCGTGGGCCACTGACAGCTGCAGGCTGACCCGTGCTGGAGGAACTGAGATCCCATGATTCCAGCAGAACCTCTGTGGCCAACGCAGCCTTGCACCTGGAGAGGGAAACAAGGCAAGTTTCACTTGTCCCTCCAGTAAATATTAGAATGTTGGTGCCTTTCTTTTCCTAATTCTGTCAATTTTTTCTCCTAAATCTGTTTGAAACATGACCACAGATGAATTTCCATACCAAGTGAGTAACTTAAGATTGGGGCTTTTAATAAATTAATCAGTGCCCATGTTTTTACCAGCCTTAAGAAGAGGCAAAACCTCCATCCCTCTTGTCATGGCAACTACAATAAACGAAACATCATTCAGAAGTCAAGAAATAAAACACAAGCACTTTAGGTCTCAGCCAAGTCCGCAAAGTAGGAAAACTTATTACTAATTCAAAGGATCTGTGTCCCTCAGAGCTCACCATTACTGGTTTTACTACTAATAATATTGGAGCTGCATAAATTTAACAGAAGGCAGAGTCTGGCAGAAGGGAGAGTGGTGTTGAAGTGCTGCTATCCTCATCAGACACCTCCATGAGGCCTTCACTTGTCAACCTGGCAAGAAGCAGTGCTGGGTTGTGGAAAAAGAGCTGGGGAGGGGAAGGTTATGGGTTTATAGCTATAGAATCTGGCAACATTAAACCTAGAGAGGTAGTGGAAGGGGCCATAGGTTTTTGTAATTTATTCATAAACAGCTATGCCATCATAAGACACTTTTTAAAATAATATGTGATAGTTCTTTAAATATTTAAGACTTTGTTGACCTATTTTCTCAGTTAATTAGGATTTTTTTGGCTGCATTAACAATGACTTAAATGCAGTCTGCCTCAGTCACTACACAGTTCAGCTACACTGGGTTACAGAAATACGTTTTCTTTCTAAGGCACGTTGACACAGGAGAGGAATTCCATTGTAGGTGTCTAGACTTACAAACCAGGACTTAAAAACTTGTAGACCTCCTAGTAGGTAGCGCTTAAGCTCAATTTACTGAACATAAAATCATTCACCTAGCATCCCTTTGAGTCCTAAAATAAATGTCCTTTCAATTACAGCAGTGAAAGGGAGTGGAAATGGAAGGGAGCGGCCATGGTGCGGCCGCCCTTCTCATCAAAGGGCAGTGGTTAAGACCATCAAGCTCGTCTCTGCAAGCTGCATTTGTGAGTACACTTCTATTCTTACCAGAAAGGTAAGAAGGTACACTTCTTTCTAGGCTTGCTAGGTCTAGAAGTTAACTGGACAGAAACTGGGCCATGTGTGTAGTGCAAAGCATCACGTCACTAATCACAGTACAATGGTCAGAAACCAGCTCTTTCTGAACGCTAAGAGAAGGCACTGTTAGCAAAAGATGCACCATGTTCATCACACTGCAGGGGCTTGGATAGGTGAACGCATCTACATCCCTCCTGTCTCCTCTGCAGTCAGTGGCAAGGTGAGGGAGGACGTGAGAGCAGAGCTTTGACTGACTGTCAAGCATGAAGATGGCCAGCTAGTTGGAGGTGGCCACAAGGGCCCTCCTGACAGAGGGGGAAGTTGTCACCAGGGAGGATGTGTGAGCCATCAGGGTCCTGTCATTACTGGCTTATCTCAAGGGGAATTTCTGTGGGCTGTGAAATAAGCTGCAGCACCAAAATTTAAGTCAGTCCCCCATTACACAGCTTGGGGACCATCTAAGCCCCTCCACCTTGGAAAAGGACACCAGAAGAGGTGACTCCTGCTCTCTGAAGGGCTCTAAAACGTACATCTTAGGAATATCATTATCAGGCCTATTTCTGGCTCTTTCAAAGTGTAGTAAAATAAACCTTTAGCCTTTCTGTCATCGCCTCTCCTTCTTGGAAGGTGTCAAGGACCTTCATGTTTTCCAAGGGCTGTTTTAGTGGCCTCCTGCAGAAAACCACATGAAGAGAAGTTTGCACAAACTCAGAGCACGAGGATGCTGTTAACTTTCCATGCAGCCTTTGCTGGGGATCTCCAAAGTGACCTAGGAAGGGTACTTCTCAGTGCATGTTTCTGCAGAGTGTTACTGAGCTGACTTGAAGTAAAAGACTAAGTAAACGGTGGCTGTCAGGCTTCAACAAGCTTCCTCATCAGGTGCAAATGGACAGGAAAGGTTTTCTTCCATTTGCACCTGATGAGGAGGCATGTTTCTCCCCAAAAGCTGTGTCTGCCACCCTGTGTTTGGTTCCCATAGATCAATTCAGTGTTCTTTGAATCAATGTTCTCCACTAATGAATTAATTCCTTTTTATTTTCAGATTGAAACTTAAAATCTACTGGCAAATATTTTGTCAACTGAGAGATAACAAGTGTACAGAATCAAACCTGTAGCTCCTAAATGAGAATTGTTGGGTTTATACCAGGGATTTCTAGTTCCTAGAAAGAAATATAAAACTAGAAACTTTTGCTGAGATTGAACAGGAGACAACACTACAGTGCAGAGGAAGAATTTCTATTTTTGGCTACACCCTTAAGGCAACAGAGGAAGCGTATGTCATGGCTGCAGTGACAGCTAATGAGCAGATATACAATATTAATTGCAGTGAGTGTAACACACTGAACAATCTATCAACTTCTATTTTCTTAGCAGCTGTAGCTTAGATGATTTTGACTAACAGCTCTGTCTGAACTGGCTGCTTTGAGTTTGTTTGCCTAAATGGAGGCATGTAAGGGAACTCCACTACAGCTTGTTATGACCTGTGCTGTGCAGTCTGGGCCGTCCTCTCCTACACCAGCCACTGTAGCACTGCTGATGATTGTCTTCTTCCCGCTGCTTGAGGGGCTGACCCAGTTGTACTCGGCTTGCACCAGGACGAAGCTGTTCTCCCGGATCTTTCGGAAGCGCATCACCTCCCCGTTTTCTCTGACGGCGATGACGTCGGGGTCGGGCTCGCTGAAGGAGACCTCCGTCCGCTTGTGGCAGTGCTGGGCGCAGACACAGCGCACGGCAGCTGCCAGCGCCAGGCCCAGGGTGGCAGTGCAGACCAGGAGGATCCCGAGTTGGGCTGCCAGGAGTCGAGTCCCTCTGTCAGGGTCTTCCCCTTTCCCAGGAACAGCAGATTTGGGAGCTGGTCTGGTCACCCATGGCGGGGTGTTCCCACCCGCTGCTGCCTCCTCGCCACTGGTGCCCTCCTCCTCCGGCTGCGGTCCTGGCTTTCTTTCTGCCATTTGCCTTGAAGCCAATGACAAATTGCCGGCAGCGTTGGCATCGCCAAACCAGGCTATTGTTGCAGCAGTGTCCCCCAGGTGAGCGTGTCCATGCGGAGCAGGAGATGTTGTCACATGCTGGGAGGCCTTCAAGACGGCCCCGCTCTCGGTACTGGCCTTCAAAAGCAAAACCAAGATGAGATGTGCAGTGAGGGAAGAGAAGGGGGCCGATTAGGTTCTCACTACCTGTGTCATGGTAGAGCTCTGCATTTCTGGCATCCAGGTGTCACCCTGGCCTTGGAAAAACCCTGCTCTATCCCCAGATTACTCAGTAGCTTTTAGAAAATGAGGCATTCAGCCCTGTTCCATCCATACTGGGATTGCCGTGGGAGGGACAAGACATTGGGAGCTAGTCCCCGTGGGGCAAGGCAGAGCAGGCTGGAGGGGGAGAGGTGAAGGGCACAAGCGGAGAGGAAGGTCACTGCTTTGCCTAAGGAAAGGTCTACAACTCCCATTGTGGTGGCGGTGGCATTTTTCCCAGGCATCGTTATCACAGAAAATAATCACAATTCCCACCTTGAGTGATGTCAGGGTCATGCTGAAAGGACAGGTGTGATCTTCCTGTCCAAGCTTCGTGTTTAGGGTCCCACTGGGATTCAGTATTGCCCGGCTGAGGCTGTGGATCGAACCATGGAGTGGAGGTACCCAGGAGGCTTGGGATGGCTTCTGACATCAGCAGTTTTGGGGCAGTATGTACAACTTGTGAACTCTCCCCAAAGCCCATCTTGCTTTCTCAGTCTACACAGCCAGTTTGAAACTGGCTGCTACTCAGCGTTGCTTAACCACCCACTTTAGTGGGAATGACTGTTGAGTGCCGCTGTTCCTCAGGGCTCTGCCTGCTGCCACACACTGTATTTTACCCGTCCCAAAATGATAGCCACTCCATGCCAGTTCTGCAGCCCAGGCTTTGCTGCAGAAATCATCCAAGGCTAACTGTGAAACAATCATACAATTTAGGAGGCCCCCAATGAATTTTTCCATTCCCACTGTGCACCTGGATCCCCATCCAAAACCTGCAAAATGTACTGGAGTTCTTTCCCTGGCTCCACTGAGATTTGTATCTGGCCCTCAAGTAGCTGGCTCTTCTCCAGCGTGTCCAGCCCAGCAGGCTTTTTCACACATCCATTAATTACACCAGAGAAACTCTCACCCTCTACCATCCTTAGCGATTTATAAAGCTTGCTGGGAAGGCCATGTGACAGGAGCACAAAGCTGAGGTAGGAGCCCTGGCAAGCTGTGAAGCAAAGTAGGGGAGGGTCAGAGCATCCTTTGTGGAGGAGACGGTTTCTGAAGGTGCTAGTAAAATACAGTAGTAAATAAAAGAATTTCAGTGGCTGAACTGCAAACTGTAAAGTAGCTGGCTGACAAAGTTAGGATTGCAGGTGTTTCGATCACTTACCCTCAAAATGCAAAGGTCATACTGTAGGGATATACTGCAGTATTTAGGACTTTGAGATAGAAAATGGAATTGCCTTGCAAGTCCTTGCCTTATCTCACCTCATTTCTCCTTTCTTTTTGTACTTCTGTTCTCCTTTCTTACCTAATTTCTCAACATTTTTATTTCGTTATGCTCTTCTGGTCTCGCCCTGTGCAGTAACTCCTCCTTTCCTTTGGTTACCATCTTCTGCCATTTCTCCACTTCTCTCCATGGCTACACCAGATGCTCATGTTACATGACTCTACTCATTCTCTATCCTCTGCTCCTTCCTGAATATTTCTGCCTTATTCTCTGCCGTACAGCCCCTTCCTCTTTTATTTTCTGTGAGATTACTCCTCTTACTCCTGTGGCATCCTGAAACCAAGATCTAGTTCTTTATTTTCCTTGTATTTTAATTCTCTTCATCCCCTGTGTATGGGGCTTCCCCTGCTAACTCTGTACCCCATGCTTCTAAGCTGTCCCTGCTTTCCATCTTCTCCACTAATTCCCACCTGCCCATTCTCCTCTATCCTCGCAACCCTGGTATTCTCCAGTTTCTCTCACTCCTCTTGCTGTCATTTTCTTTTTCTGCCTAATTCCTTGCATGCCCTTTCCCGCTCCCACATCTCTTTCCATCTGTACAGCCACCCCTCTCCTGAGGCTGTGGTCCTTTCACACCTTTCTGGGCTTCCCCTCCTGAGGTCACCCCTTCCCAAAAGGTGCTCCCACCTGCTTATCCCGTCTGCCAGCTCCCGCTCTTCCAGCTGTCTCTGCTGGGTGCACCCCATGCCTGTGGCTAACCCCACCATCACCACCACCACCACCTCTGCCTTTCTGGTCCATCCTCCCAGGCTGACCTGCCCTCAGGAAGCACACAGCTTCCTTGGCCGTCCCCAGGAAAGATGAAGTCTTCGACCTCTGGTGAATGCCATGGCTGGTACCTATCCAGCACCTCTGCATAGGAAGATCTCAGCCTTCCATGGGAATAAAACACGTGTTTCCAGCCAAGGAACATCCAGCAGCCTGGAGCTGTGTAGCCATATGGAAAAGTTGTTTTGGTTTGTTTTTACAGCAGGGCTCATAAAAACCCAGGCAGCGGGCTCAAAAGGAAAACAAAAAAGAGGTCTAAAACCCGATTGACAGTTAAAGTAAAAAAACCCTAAAACCCTTTTAACAGTCTCAAATGTAGTTTTAGTCACTTATGAGACTTATGTGGGCTGCTTGGTGCTGTGATGTAGTAGAGCAGTTTTATCCTCATCTTCTCTTAGACCTTTTTGTCATCCTCCCCGTCCCTGTTGCTTACCTGCCGGTCTTCTTTACACACCAAACACAAGTGTGGGGTGGCAGCGCTGGCAATGCTTTCTGCTCTAAGATACAGAGAGAGGAAAGGCAGGGTTAGTAAGTGAGGCCTGTCTTTGCCGCTCACGCGGGAGTCCCTGGGTCTGCTCCACTGGAGAAGCATCCTGCTCCCTAGAGCAGCCTCGGGATGCATGCAGTCACCACAGGGCTGTACAGAGCTGTATTTTTAATAACACCGATCATTTATTCCTATCCCCATCATTTTCACCCACAATATGAAATATTGCATGAAAGCTCATGCGGCCCAAACCCTCTAAGACTTCTGAGCAGATATCCTCAAGCCCAGATTTCATAATTGCTTTTAATTCTTTCCTCCTTTTCCCTGCGGACAGAGAAATACGTCTGCTGTGTTCACCTTTTCACTGCATATTTGCACGCACTTTTAAAAAAAATATTGTAGCACTCAATAGTTTTTAAATCACATTTTTCAGTCATCTGGCCAGTCCTCTGCTAGGCTGAGCAGCTCAAGGTCGGGTTTTTAAGTGTTTCGGATTTTCTCCCTGTCGCTGTCTGTCACATACAATCTCCAAAGGATTATTTCTCAAAATTTCCCAAAGCAAACACCCTCTTGCCTGCCCTTCCCAGTCACAGATACCTTCCTACATAGACCCTCGCTCATCCACTGGAAAACCAGTGCTATTTTCCATCCCCAGAAGGGCTGGAGAAATAACTCTTCCCACTGCCTAGTTTACCCCTTGGAGGTGCTGTAGCTGGAGGTGTCTTCTTGGGAGAGGAAACCTTGCAAGGGGTCCACCGTGCTGGGTTCTTGGGTGGGGAGAGATGTCTCCAGCCCCTGGCCTCTGGGCTCTCTGCTCCCACCGGACGCAGCCTGCAAAGGCCAAGCCAGCTGCTTCAGCTCAGCCACGAGACGGGCGTCAGACCCGACACCAAATCCTGGCTCTGGTGCCGGCGTTGCTGCGATGTCGGTGGGGCTGGCTGGTGGTATGGGGGAGTGCAGGGGGGAGCCGGTGGCAGCCGCGGGTGAGGTGGGACCTTGTCCAAGCAGGGAGACAAAACAAGAAGCAGGGAGAGAGGAGTAGAAGTCTATTGCCTTTGGTTTGTTTATTTCAAATCCCTCTTGGTGTGAATGCTTGCCAGGAAGGATCGTAATAATGACTTTTTTTTTTCTTTAATTTTCATGCCACTTAATTTGAAGTGGGAACCCAGATGGAAAGTAAAGCAGCAAAGCCCACTGCCTAAACTATGGTCAAGTAAGATAATTAAAACTCAGTCTTGGTGCCATGCCAAAAATGCTGAGACACCCACCTGATTTGGGTAAAAGAAAATTCTTGGAGCCTTTTGCAGACCAAAGGCCACATAAATACAACTAAACACATACGTGAAGGACAATAGTCACATTTAGAGACAAATGTCTTCCTTTATTTAGACAGCATTGCTAATTGCACTTGATTGTCTTTAGGAGCTAAGGTTTTAGGTCAAGTATGCTGCATTTTAGGGTTTGCATTGAAATCGTAAGATCTGGCAACCCTGTTTATCCTTCTGGTACCCTCGTTGAAGCTGGCTCCATCACCTTGAATGCTGACCCATGCCCCCACTTCAAGGAGTTGGACACAGCCATCGCTGATCTCCCCGATGGCCACACGAGTTAAATGAGTCCCTCCAGCTTGTTCGGGTCACTTGTGTTCAACGCTTGCCCGGAATAAGCTGTAAAACTACTCTGCGGGAAGCAGTCAGTAAGAAACCTGTACCTTTGCTTGCCATACCTGTGCGGTGTGGGTCAGCTGGTCCCTGCGAGGGCACGGGGGTTACAGGGTCGAGCTTCTTGCTGCTGCCAGCAAGTGTTTTGTTTTGCCCTCGCTGAGCCACAATAGCAGATTCGATCTTTGCCCAGTAAACAAAGTATGACTGGACTATGGAGATGCTGTTAAAACATAATTAGGGAAGAATTTACTGGCTTTGCAGCATTAACAAAACATCCGACTGTTTAGCTAATCACAAGGATCTGAAGACTGAAGCAACGGAAAAGTATTTTAATAGATTAGACCATCACACTTTTGGTGTTAAATACATGATACCGGGTCCCAATATGGTGTGAAGAGTCACCACTCATAATTAAGATCAGCCAAAAAAGTGTGGGAACTTAAATTTAAAAAAAAAAAAAAAAAAAGCTATTATATTTGCTGTGTTGATAGACGTCCATTTGGAAAACTTGGACTAGCTCTGCTTATAATCTTCCGTAGGCAGGGAAACATCAGTGGTATTTACTAATTAAAACAAGTCAATGTAACTTGTACAAACAGCAGAATAGGTATGAAAAAAGAAAAAAGTCTGTCTTCTCAGCCCTCTGATATTTGAGCCTGCCTAACCCTCTGCTTTTTGGCAGGTGCCAAAACTGCATTGGCCAACCTTTAACTGTTCACCCGGAGAATCTTATTTAAGCTGGAGATTTTAGGACAATTTCAGTTCAGATTGCTCAGCTGCTTCTGAGAATTAGCTAAGGGGAAACCAACCCGAGTCTGCCTGTGCCAGATGACCCTTATGAGGCATTTTTAAGCCTAACAAGGAGTTTTTCTGGGTGCTGTGGTAGGGAGAAAAGGGAGAAGCTATCAGAAATCAGCTTGGAGGGTCAAAATCCAGAGGATGGTAGCTAGGAATATGTGTCGGGTTTGGGTTGGGTTTATTCAGTTGCTTGAGTTTTATGTGTGATTAATAGTATTTCCCAATCTAAAACAATGGGCAAAAATTCAAAATGCCAAGCAGCAATATTTCTGTTTCAATGAATTTGTGTTGAATCACAATGAGATGCACAAACCACGGCGCTCACCAGAACGCTTATGTTTTGGGAAGCAGCCAAGGATCTGGCCAAGCAGCTTCTAAGTGGTTTTGTAAAGTCAAAACTTGACAATATAATCTCTTCCAAAATGAAAAGTCACTGTGCTTCCTCTAAGACAGCCAGTTAGAAGACATTTAATTTCATTCCAAATCAGAACCAAAATACCTGGACAGTTTGGGACTTTGGTGCAAACAGAGATGTCAAGTGTTGACCCAGTGCTCACTTTCTTCTTCCTACCATGAATAATTCTGTTTACATTTAATTGTTTTTAAAACCACTCATTTTTAATTCTTTTTTTTTTTTTTTAAGTAGTGATATACAAGATTATTCTGTAGGCAGGGAAGTCCTGTGGACTATGTTATTTAGAAAGACAGGCAACATGATCACAGTTCTCACTTTATGCCTTAATATTTCTATTTCATAAGTGCTTAGGCTGTCATCTTTCAATGTATTTATTCTGAGAAAATAGTGACCATGTAAATAAAAAGCAGAACTACCCAGCAGATATAAATGGTGATTTACATACCAGCTGGGATACTGTTGCAGCATTTGATTAAGTATTTAGCTATATGGGGTTCAAGATATATAAACCACTGTGCTGGACAAGTACAATGGAAAAATAAAGCCAGGCCTTTAACTGAGAAGACACAAATTTTGGTTAGGAACCAACATGTTCTTACAAAAATTTGATGTCTCCAATGGGTTGGTCTGGTGCTTTCCATACAAAGGACAGGTTTCTCTTCAGTGACTTGTCTGAGTGGGTGACGGTGTCACCATCTTCGAAACAAGTCAGCAGCTTGGAACCAGGAGGCATGAAGACAAATGTGCCAGCAATTTCATTGTTAGACACTTTGCGAGCTTGAAGCAAAAAGCCCATAAAATCTCGGGTGCTCCTCACTGTCACTGCAAGACAAAACATGGGACATGAAGGGATTTGCCTCATAGTTACAGGGTCAAGTGTTTGCAATGGAGTTTCCAGTGTGAGCACTGAAACCAAAAGAAAACCCTGTGCAACAACAACAAAAACATCTTACTGTGTTTGTCTTCCCTTGGTCTGTCTTGGACACGCTGGATGCAGGAGGCCAGACTTTAACTTTGCATGTGTAATTGCACACAAAACTTGCTTGAGTCTTTTTTACCCCCCTGCCCTTGATTATAAGCAGCTAACCACATTGCGTTAGGCAACATGCAGCCATTTTTAAGGAAGGTTTGGGTATCACCCTGTATATATGCATAAGCTTGTGCTCTGCCCTCGAAGAGGTTTTATTTTGCATGGGGATGAGCAGGCAAGCCGCCAGGCTGGGGAGTGCTGCCTCTCAGCTCTATCTGCATCCGCCTCAGGAGCAACGGTGCTGGGGACGGGGCATGCTGCCCACCTGTCTGAAGAGTCAGGTGAGTTGCCCAGACCCCTTCATGCATTGCAGAGGGGCAGGGAGGGCAACTTCACCCTCTGGAGATGCCTCTCATGCACCATCACAGGTAACGAGGTCGGGTATGGTTGAGGCACAGCTGAGATAAATGAATCCCACCCAAAGCATCCAAACTTACCATCTGCAAACAGTTGGTCTGCAATGTGGTGAAAATCTGAAGCCAGCCATTATTTAAGAAACCCTAGGCCAAGTGCTGCAAACACAATCCTGTAAATACATTGGCTTCCTCCGGACAAGGGAGGTGGTATAGCTCACTCGGAGCAGTTATCCTTCTTCCCAGCCCTCACAAAGATTAATGCCATCACTTGAGATCAGTTATCCTGTATTTTTCAAATGCAGAAAGGAGAAGCTGTTTCTTACCTGGAACCCTGTCACCTGGGGAGTAGAAGGACATGTTGGTGTGGACAGTAATGTAGTTGTTGCTGGGGCTGTGCAGCTGCACTCTCAGGTGCCTGGGCATCATGTCGGCGCAGGCGGAGAGGCTCGCGCCGTGCGAGAAAGCAGCTGCATAGGAGACCAGGCACAGGGTTGTGTACGCCCAGCCCACAACAGCGATGTGGGCTCCTTGGCGGTCCTCCATCCTACGGCGGAAAGCAACAGTCAGGTTTATTTCCAAGCAGCGGCTTCAGCAGCCTGTGAGCCCGTCTGGAGCCTTTGAATGAGCTGAGCTCCAGAGCTGCCCTTCCCGAAGCCGTTAAACAGAGGAGAATAAATGATCTCTGTGGCACATGGAGCTGCTTAGGTAATCCGCAGCATTTCACATTTTGAAGTAAATTGTTGAGGCTGGGAGGGGAGAGGCCCCACAAGAGGATGCATTTCTTGTGAAGTTGCCCATGGAGAGGGTGCTCAGGGAAGATTTGCTCTAAAAAGTGACATTTACGAGGCGAAAAAGGCTCTGTACAACCGCATTCAGCACACTCCACCACTCCCAGCCCAAATGTACAACCTGATCAATGGGGGAAACATCTACCCTTAGACCTGCAGAGGTGCTGCAGGCCCCATCCCAGTGGGTGGGGAGCCGTGTCCCCGCAGGGACAGCACGCCCCTCGCTCTGGCCCGCGGGAGTGCCTTTTAGCAACCCACTTGTAGTGGCTGGGGGATGCTGGGCTGTTTGTGACCACCAGACCCATGCCTGGCTGCTCAGCAGCATTTCAGCTTGTCCTTCTCGGTCAGGGGTTGCTGTTGCTGACAGAATGGCAGCGATGCTATCTTTGAAGTCAGCATTGGAAGCCTCAGATAAATGGGCAGCTGTTTTGGCTAATACCAAGATTTCTCCTTATTCTACAGTTTTTAATCCAAGCAAGTACTTGTTCTTGACATGGTTGACGTTTAATATTGGGTATGCCATGTCTTCAGTACCTCTCAGCTTTGGTGGCTGGCAGAAAACACATTTCCAGATTAGCTGGAGTACTGTGTTATTCTGATTTTTCAGAATGAAAGTGAAGCTGGAGAACAAGCGTGCAGTATTTGTTGTAATGGCTATTATAAGGCAGGTCGGCCTGCTTTTAACATAGCACTTTCTAACATCTTTTCAACATGCAGCTTTTCCTGGCTTAGCTTTCATTACGTTTAGTCAATAAGCAGACTTAAATAAATCAAAGGAAACCAGAGGCTGAGGAGTTCTAGCTTACACCTCCGTCTCTAGCACTTCTGAAACTTGGCAGCTGACTGACAAAGCACCACTGCACGCGAAGCAGGTCGTGCCCAGCCTGAAGCCGGGAGCAGACGGATGCAGTTAAGGTTTCACGGCCGACCATCGTGCCGCTCCAACCACTTATACGCCAGAAGATGCTTGTGGGAGTCACGGCAGCCCTCGCTAAATATCCCAGGGCTGCAGGACCAGCGGCGGGGTGCCTCCCCCTCGGGGAGTCGGGCTCCCCCTGAGGCACACCTCAGCCTCCCTTGCTGGATCCGGTTTCTCGCGGGAGCTGGCGCAAGGACTCCTGAGCAGCAGCAGCTCTTTCCCTGGGGTGTTTCCCAGGCTGACCTGCCCTCAGGAAGCACACAGCTTCCTTGGCCGTCCCCAGGAAAGATGAAGTCTTCGACCTCTGGTGAATGCCATGGCTGGTACCTATCCAGCACCTCTGCATAGGAAGATCTCAGCCTTCCATGGGAATAAAACACGTGTTTCCAGCCAAGGAACATCCAGCAGCCTGGAGCTGTGTAGCCATATGGAAAAGTTGTTTTGGTTTGTTTTTACAGCAGGGCTCATAAAAACCCAGGCAGCGGGCTCAAAAGGAAAACAAAAAAGAGGTCTAAAACCCGATTGACAGTTAAAGTAAAAAAACCCTAAAACCCTTTTAACAGTCTCAAATGTAGTTTTAGTCACTTATGAGACTTATGTGGGCTGCTTGGTGCTGTGATGTAGTAGAGCAGTTTTATCCTCATCTTCTCTTAGACCTTTTTGTCATCCTCCCCGTCCCTGTTGCTTACCTGCCGGTCTTCTTTACACACCAAACACAAGTGTGGGGTGGCAGCGCTGGCAATGCTTTCTGCTCTAAGATACAGAGAGAGGAAAGGCAGGGTTAGTAAGTGAGGCCTGTCTTTGCCGCTCACGCGGGAGTCCCTGGGTCTGCTCCACTGGAGAAGCATCCTGCTCCCTAGAGCAGCCTCGGGATGCATGCAGTCACCACAGGGCTGTACAGAGCTGTATTTTTAATAACACCGATCATTTATTCCTATCCCCATCATTTTCACCCACAATATGAAATATTGCATGAAAGCTCATGCGGCCCAAACCCTCTAAGACTTCTGAGCAGATATCCTCAAGCCCAGATTTCATAATTGCTTTTAATTCTTTCCTCCTTTTCCCTGCGGACAGAGAAATACGTCTGCTGTGTTCACCTTTTCACTGCATATTTGCACGCACTTTTAAAAAAAATATTGTAGCACTCAATAGTTTTTAAATCACATTTTTCAGTCATCTGGCCAGTCCTCTGCTAGGCTGAGCAGCTCAAGGTCGGGTTTTTAAGTGTTTCGGATTTTCTCCCTGTCGCTGTCTGTCACATACAATCTCCAAAGGATTATTTCTCAAAATTTCCCAAAGCAAACACCCTCTTGCCTGCCCTTCCCAGTCACAGATACCTTCCTACATAGACCCTCGCTCATCCACTGGAAAACCAGTGCTATTTTCCATCCCC